CGGGTAAGATGGTTGAAAGGGATGATGAAAAGGAGGGACTTTTTGTCTTCTCCCGGGAAGATAAAGAACAGTCGAGACGACGTCGCGTCTACGCTCGTCGTATACATGCGCGCGTGTTACCGTTGACGGCCAAAGCGGCCGTATGGCTGGAGGCCCCGGCTTTGTTCGACGCGGTGCAAGTGTACTCGCCGGCGTGTCTGGCCGCGACCGCATCGATCGACAGGACGCTCAGACGCTTGCCCTTCGTGATAGAGAACTGATCGGTACTTTCGGCGGATATCGGCACGCCGTCGAATGCCCAGGCAATGTCCATTGGGAAGTCCCCCTTCAGAATGGAGCAGGTCGCAGAGATCGCCTCGCCCGAGTTCACCGGCTCGTCGCCGAATGTGAACGGGAAGATCTGCGGAGCAACTGCGATCGCGGATCGCGCGTGAGAGACTCGGCAATCAATTCTATATCCCGTCGATGAGGTCCGTTCGCGCGATCATGGTCCTTAGATGGTACACGGTCCTTGGCGAATGGTCGATTGGGAGTAATTACAACGATTAGGATTTGCAAGGGTGTATCGTATCGTGAGACTAAAGCAATGCGATGATGATGAGGGGGGATCTGATGAATTACAAATCGCAGTGATGGGTTTTAGGCAAGTGCTGTTTTACACGATGTTTTAGTTGGCGTGCAGGTGTGCTTCTGGAGATAGGTACCATTGACGGCGAGAGTGGTCGAATGGCTGACGTTGCCGGCTCTGTTCGTAGCTACGCACGTATACTCGCCCGCATGCCGCGCGGCTACGGATTCGATGCTGAGGGCACTCATATGCTTGTTTATCTTCGTGATTATGATATCCGAATCGCCCGAGTTAATAGTTTTACCGTTAAATTTCCATACGATCGTAACAGGAAAGTCGCCTTTCATTATGGAACACGTGGCCGAAACCATGTCACCCCAATTCGCTGGCCCGTCACTGATCGCGAAAGGCCCTATATGCGGCACAACTATAATATCATGATAACAAACGATTAACTGCGTGTGAATTCCACAGGATCTAAGTCTACATAAATTAGCAATCAACTCGTCGGACACCTGCTCTCAGATATCTTAACGTTTCTGCTCGTAGGAATTGTTGACAACGCGTCTCGCGACAATTGTTCCTAAGACAGAAGTACCAATGCTCGGACACGCACCTAATCCTGCACATTCCTATTCTTTTTGTTGTGTGTGTGTGTTGTGGTCTCTAAATATTTAAACTTTCAATATAAATACACACAAAATGTCTCACACCAACTGGAAAATATTGAAATGGTGGATAGTAGAAGTCAAACCGAAAAGTTCTTTGTCATTTTTTTATAAATACGATAGTTAATGAGTTGTTAATTAATTAAGTTTGATGCTCAGCGCGCTGTAATGGCGGAGCTTTTTCCCCAAAAAATTAGAATAGCGGAGCTAAGAGACGGAAACTCGACGCGCGTCACTACCTAACGCTCCATGCGTTATGTATCAAACTTTAACTCGTTAACTATTGCTCGTATTAAAAAATGGCAAAGAACTTTTCGTCTTGGTTTAACTTCTACTATTTACCCTTTTGATCCTTGATGTTATTAAAAAAAGGATTTAAGCTTTATAAGATAAATGGTAGATCACATTAAAACTGAGTAAAAATAATTTTATAATCATGAACCAAAAAATTAATAAGGTAATAAAAATTAATAAGTTAATAAGAATAAATAAGGTAACAAGAATGTGTTATGAAATAATTTCTCTCTCTCTCTCTCTCTCTCTCTCTCTCTCTCTCTCTCTCTCTCTCTCTCATTAAGTGTTTTTTACTCAGTTTAGTGAATATTACCTACCCTATAAGTCTTGAATTCTTTTTCCTAACTTCCTATATGTTAAATACATACATATACATATACACTCATACATATACATACATATACTGAAAGTTTAAACATTCGTATTCGTATTAAAGACCAAAACAATAAGAATATTCAAGATTAATTATGTGTCAGAGAGTTGATATTTTTACTTTAATATTTCTGAAATAGAAGAAAGATTTGCACGTCGATGAGACACTATGTACTATTATTTTCATTGCTACCTTCAACTGCTACTCTTCTGACGTTTCTGCGCAAAAAAAAGATTGAGGAATATCGCAAAAGGCCCTAAATGCGGCGAAAATGTAATATTACGATTAATCGAAATCCACCTAAATTAATCGAAATCCACCTAAAGAGTCTAACTTTACATAAATTAACAATCAACTCGTTAGACATCTGAGGACACCCTCGGTGTGTCGCAGACATCGCACTCCTGCTTTCTTATTCTTTCGTCGGCAACGCGTCTCGTGACGATCGTCCCTAAGATCGCTGAAATAGAAGGATTGAACGTCGACGAGACACTCGACGCACAGACTGCTACTCTATTCGCGTTTCCGCGCGAGAGAGAAGGAGATTGCAGGATATCGTGGGAGTGATAAACCGCTCTGCACATGCACGTAGGTAGAGGGTGTAAGAAAAGCTACGCGAAACATAAGACGTGGGAAGACGTTGTACCGTTCACGGCCAGTGATGCGGAATAACTCGTTCCACCGGCAACGTTGCTAGCCGTGCAGGTATATTCCCCGGCGTGGCGCGCCGTCACGGCATCGATCGTAAGCAGACTGACGCGCTTGCTGGTATTGACTATCGTTATGTCGGGATGATCCCGAGAAATCGGCTCGCCGTTGAGTGCCCACTCGATCTGGATCGGGTGGTCGCCCTTCAACACCGTGCAAGTCACGGTGATGGTATCACCCCAATTCGCCGGCTCCTCGCCAATTACGAACGGCATAATCTCGGGTGCAACTACGAATGTATCTTAATTACAGCCCTGTTCTACTTTGATCGGATACTTTTGGCAAACTTGAAATGTGCGACTCCTCACCGGATTCGCGGATTGCCCGACGTTATTTAGCAAGTTTAACGGAACTCGGATAAGCAGTGAAGCCTAATGTTTCTTGAATTCATCCTGCAACATCATCAGCTCGGTCTGTAATCTCCGTTGAAACCCGAGAACGCGAAGGAACGTGACGGGAGATGAGTGTATGAATGGTGTTGGTGTCAATCTACGTGAAAAGGATGACTCGTACATGCACCGGGGAATTAATAAAAGCTTCGAAGAACGTCGTATTGTACCATTGATGGCTAAGGAAGCGGAATAACTCGTCCCACCGGCGGCGTTACTGGCCACACAAGTGTATTCTCCAGCGTGGCTAGCCGTAACGGCGTCGATCGTAAGCAGGCTGACGCGTTTGCTGGTGGCGATCGTTATGTCAGAAAAATCGTGCGAGATCGACTCGCCGTTGAGCGCCCATTCGATTAATATCGGCTGATCTCCCTTCAGAATAGTGCATGTTGCAGTGACAGTCTCTCCCCAATTCGCCGGCTTTTCACTGATCACGAAAGGTGCTATCTCCGGGGCAACTACAGTGGGACAGATACGCGATCCTGTAGCGATGAACGATCAACTCGCGGGAGTTCGAGCGCGCAAATCCAACCGGGTGTGTGAGTATAACACGACGCGCCATCGCGACCTCGTAACGCCTTGAGAAGACCGCGAGTGACCATCAATTACGATTTTCAGGCAAGGAAATGGTAACATAATGGATAATAGGTGGTGAGATGGGACACAAAGGTGTGAGAGAATAAATGCATAGGGGATCTCTCAGACGAGAATGTACCGTTCACAGCTAATGTCGCTGAATGACTGGTCGCTCCGGCTCTATTCGAAGCCGAACACGTGTATTCCCCTGCGTGTCTCGCGGCCACGGACTCGATGCTGAGAATGCTATTCTTCCGCGTCGTCGCCAGGATATTAATGTCCGAACGATCTGGCCGAATCGGCTCGCCGTTCAACGCCCACGTAATCTCGATCGGTAAGTCACCTTTGAGGATGGCGCACACCACGGAAATGGAATCGCCCCAGTTTGCTGGTTCCTCGGCGATAGTGAACGGTGCGATTTGCGGTGCGACTGTAACGAGTTCTACGTGTTTTTTTCTTTCTCTCTCTCTCCCTCTCTCTTTTGCCCTGTGTAAACCGTCAATCTCCTTGACAACACGACTATGTCGATGGATGCGGCGGCAAGGCCTGAGAAAGATTTGAAGAGGAAGAGGAAATATATAAAGATGTGTAAGTAGTTGCTGTTGAGCTGTCAAAGATATTTTTTTTTACACCCGATTGCATACGCGATTTTCGATCGGGTAGGGAAGGAAAAAGAAAACAGGGAAGAAGGGCGATTTTAACAAGACCGACATTTCTTTTCTAACGATTATTGTAGGTACCATTGACTGTCAATTCCGCGGAATAAGTGGTTGCGCCGGCAGCATTAGAGGCAACACAAGTGTAAGTGCCCGCGTGACTCGGACTCGCAGAATCTATGGACAGCAGGCTGTTCCTCTTGGTAGTTGTCACCGATATTCGATGATTCTCCTCGATGGGCATTCCATTCAACGCCCAAGTGATTTCTAACGGGGAGTCCCCGTTGACGATCGTGCAAACCGCCGAGACAGAGTCGCCCCAGTTCACCGCCTTGTCGGCCATTTCGAAAGGAGCGATGCGCGGCGGTACTGTCGGGTCATAGAAACGCTACTTCACATGGAACCGGAAGCAGGACAAGCGAAATGAGATATGAGAGGAAGCTCGACAATTATAGATCGTGAAAATATCAACCTGCTTGGTCTAATTTCTTTTACGACCGAGTCTTAGGGCGCAACCTGCTTGGGAAGGCATTCCAATAAAGAGACTTCAGCAAAAGGAACACAATTGACACGTCATTGATGTTCTAAAGCATAACTCAACTACTGATACGTGATTATTATTAATTACATCCCAAAGCTGCGGGGCATTTACCGTACGCGCAATCTTTTTTTCCTGGGTGCCATGAAGCACTAAGAAAAGCATAGCCCGGTGTTTCGTGCGTCCAACCAACCACCCAACCGTCATTGATTCAAACTGAACAAGCGTACCGTTCACCGAAAGAACCGAAGAATGGGTAGCGGTTCCGGCCGTGTTGCTCGCAGTGCACGAGTACTCGCCCGCGTGTCTTGCGGCTACCGATTCGATCGTCAGCGTGCTGGCCCGTTTGCTACTCCTGCTTATCACTATATCGGAATTGTCGTAATTGTGCTCGTCGAATGCGCCATTCGCGTCGATTACGCGGCCGTTAAATGACCAGACTACGTCGATAGGCAGGTCGCCTTTTATCACGGCGCACTGAACGGTCGCCATCTCGCCCGCATTGGCCGCTTCGTCACCGAAGGTGAAGGGCGCTATTTGCGGGGCAACTGCAATCGCGAAGGGCACACTCGTGAATCACACGTGGGAGCTTCCGAAGTGGCCACCCGAACACTCGCGGTCAGGTGAAACGCAGAACGTAGTCGAAACAAAACAGAAACCAAAGTAGACGATATTCACAAAACAGTTCCTCGGGGTTGCCACAAGGAAGATCGGAGAAGGGATGGGAAAACGACACTAGAGAATATAAAGGGCATCCAACAACAATGTAACGGTTAAGCGATACGGGAACGAAACCGAAGAGAAAACAAAAACAAAAGAAACATGGACCATCGTTTCGCTGTCTGTGCGGGATGGACCTTGTCACTGGCTGTCGTCGTCTTCGACGATAATCTCACGAATCTTCTAGACTACCACGCGTTATGCGGGATTGTCGTCGAAGGCGACGGCAGTGAGCTTGAACGGCGATTACTCAAATCGATATATTACTGCGGAGATACAAGAAATTACAAGAGAATAATGAAAGAGTGTGTACAGATGTAAGGCAGTAATTTTTACATATACGAGCGCGGTACCGTTCACCGAGAGTACAGCGGTGTGACTGTCGGATCCGGCGGCATTGGTCGCAGTGCATTTGTATCTTCCAGCATGCCTCGCCGCTACGCTGTCGATGCTCAAGAAGCTGACCCTCTTATTGGTCACGATATTAACATCCGGCCGACTCGAGTCGATCAGGATGTCGTCGAACGTCCATGTCAATTTTACGGGGAAGTCGCCCTTGACGATCGTGCAAGAGACCGACAGCATCTCGCCGGAGTTGAGAGGATCGTCGCCAAAGGAAAACTGGAGGATCTGTGGCGCGACTGCGTGAACGACACGCCGGCACAGACGGAAGGGTGTAACGAGAGACAGAGAATACGTGAAAGTGGACGAAAGGATGAACGGTGGTATTTTGTGCGTGTATGAATGTTATATGTTAAACAGTTTTGCATATTTTTAGTAACATTATGTACAAAAAAACAGAAAAGTATACATGTTAAGAGGGTAAAACATTTTTGCCGCGCTCGTGGAAAACTTAAATTCAAAACTTTCTAACTATTTTGTTTCTCAATATTTTGCTATAAAATTTGATATGAGTCTATACTTAATATCAATAAATATCTTATATAAAGTAGAAAACGAGAAACAAAATAATAGCAGAACATTTCTGTGAAACTTCTTTTTCTCACGGTGGACCTGATAACCTCTTGTAAAAATTTCTAGACAAAAAAATATATTTTTAATGCATTAAAATTTTAATTGCATTTTTAATTGCAGTAAATTCTTTAGATATTATTGTGGCCGATTTTTTCCCAAAAATTACAATTGTACTAGCCTATCAAAGTTTATTTGATAGAAAAACGCTTTCTTTAGACTTTTTTTAAATAACTTTGATTTAAAAAATTATTTTAAAAATCTATATGATAATGATTAAGGAATTTAAGGGTGTATTTTCCTTTTTCCGTCAGAAAAGGTTATCAGATCCAGTATGAAAAAAAGAGAGGATTCACAGGAAGAGTTGCTGAGTTCCATTATAATTTTGTTTCTTATTTACACGTTTTTATTAATATATAATGTAAACTCATACTAAATTTCATAACAAAATACTAGAAGACAAAAAAGTTACAGGGTTTTGACTTAAGCTTTTCACGTGCGCGGCAAAGGATTTAACGATCCGGGTAAAATCTAGTGTTATTAGTATATATATGTAAATATATAGCAAAAAATCGTAATAATTAAATTAACGAGGCTGCATGTAAGTGTTGCTGTGGAAGAAAGGTCACACAATTGTGTCCGCGAGAGAGTGTTTAGCGATCAGCTACGATAATCGACTGCTCGAACGATGCTTTAGACGAGGAAGACGATGCATGGCAGAATAGGCAGAGACGGACGAGCATTCATTTCTCCGTTGGGAGTCGGTTGTATATACCGTTCACAGCAAGATGAGCCGAGTGTGTCGTAGTGCCGACGCGATTGGACGCAGTACAGGTATAATCGCCGGCGTGTCTGGCCGCGACCGATTCGATAGTTAAGACGCTGTTCTTTCGGTTCGTGCTGGCTACCACTACGTCGGAGTCGCGACTGTCGATCAGCGTTCCATTAAAAGTCCAAGTGATTTCGATGGGCTGATCACCCTTCGTGACGGAACAGGTGACTGAGACGAGCTCGCCCCAGCTGGCCGGTTCGTCCCCGAAAGCGAAAGGCAGTATTTGCGGGGCAACTGGAAAGAGCGACTGGGAGAAACGAGGCAAGAAAGAGCAAGTGTCGGTTCATAATGCGACGCGTAACTCTCGGCGACGTTCGTATGACACGTGTCTCGATAATTGGCATCCGCCCCGGGAACATTTAAACGAGTGCGACGTGGACCAGTAGATGAGATTGGCATGGCGGTGGAAAGTGTGTTCGTTTCGTCGAGAGATAGTCTTCGGCAAGGATAATGGGTGACACGACGAACGGAGGGAGTTGACATGGGTGTGTGGGTAAACTATATAATCTATTGTCGTAAGACTGGAACCGTGCGGACAGGAAAATCGGGGTCGTACCGTTGACAGTCAAAGTTGTCGATCGACTGACGGAACCGGCTAGATTCGATGCGGAGCAGGCGTACTCGCCAGCGTGACGTGCCGAGACACCATCGATGATGAGGGTACTCAAGTGCTTGCTGATTCTGGTGATCGTAATGCTCGTATCTTTCGACGTGTCGATCGGCACGCCGTTGAAAGCCCACGATATGTCCATGGGCATATCGCCCTTCAGGATCGAGCAGGGTACGGACACGGAGTCTCCCCAATTGGCGATCTCGGCATTGAAAGCAATGGGTAGTAGCTGTGGTCCGACTACACGTGTCAGCAAACAAAGTATCACACTTCATTTCGCAACGACATTCCCGAAATCGTGGATCACACACACTCTCTCTCTCTCTCTTTCTCTCTCCCTCCCTCCCTCTCTCTCTTATGGTGCCTCTAATAGACACCTGTGTAGTCAGTCGAATCTGTTTTAGTCGTTGTCTAATGGTATTATATCGACATTCCCGTAGGATTCGTATGGACAAAGGACTCGATAACACTGTTGTAAAGGGCGTGACAAACAAGGGAATAGCCGTGGTGCTGTCTGCAAGAGGTCTGTGCAAGGGACGAGACGGGATGATAAAACGCAACTGAAGTATGAAAAAGACTGTGTTCTCTAGGAACAGATCGTAGTCCCGAACCATTGACGGTGAGGATGGTCGAGTGGGACGCCGTTCCAGCCGCGTTTTCGGCGGTACAAACGTACTCCCCCGCGTGTCTCGCGGTGATGACCGAGATCATGAGCATGCTAACGCGATCCGCGACCTTCTTCGCGAGTACGCCGGAGGAACCGCCCATCTCTTCTCCGGGATAGCTCCAACGTATGTTCAACGGCAGGTCGCCGGTCGGCACGATACACTGCAGATTCGCGAACTCCCCGGCGTTCATCGGTAGCTTCATGAACGCGAACTCCTGAACGTCGGGCGGCACTGAGGGTGGAGGAACGATGTATGGAAGTATATGATTAGGTCGCGTATGTGTGTGTATCCGCATGATATGCGTCCCACGTCATGCGTCACGCTCGTGAATGTCATAGACACAATTGCGTTACTGGAAATCCTTCGACTTTGATATCGTACAACTTTTTTTTTCTTTTAGAAATCTTTTAAATGACAACCAGAGTCATTTATGTCCGGACTCCATTCTAAAAAGTGTTCATTTCTTGGAACATTTTTGTTTAAAAATAATTAAAAAATAAGATATATAGCAATTTATTTTTCACAAAAAAGCTATGTGGTTTTTAACTAAAAAGCTAAAGGATATTTTAATGATTTTTAGGAATTTTTTTGAGCACGCCTCTTAAGAAAAGAAAATTTGAGGAAAACATTAATGACTCTAGTTGCTAGTTTGAATCTAGTAGCGAAAATACATTGTCACTCAAAATATTAATAGAAACATTTTTTATAAAGAAAATTTTTTATATAGACAAATTTTTGTCCTCTAATTCTATATTATGTTTATGAATCTAATTAATGTTGACGTCGCGTAGAAGGCGATGCTTCATTTTTAAATAATTTAATAGCTAATGAATGCAGTACTTTATGTACTTTGGTATTGCGAAAAATATTGACGGCATTCATACATCCGATCGCAAAACTGTGCCTATGAAGACCGTTTATACCGAAAAAGTGGCAGTAACAATGTTAATAGCAAAAAGCTGATAACAAAAATGTATTTAGCAAAACTATCTTCTCCAGAAAACGATATACTAATTGTTTCTAACAAAATATATTTTTAATAATATGGAAAATACAAATATCAAAATTAGAAAGTTTACCATTAAACTGTTAATAGCGATATTATTAGCAAAACTGATTTTCGTAAATGTTTTCAACAAAGTTGGAAAACTTCGTATGGTTAATGATACTGTTATTAATAAATATATGCTATATACAAATTTGATAAGTTTTATAGTACGATCTGTCAAGTCAAAACAAAATCTTTGTTCGAAAAAAATATTGCTAATACATATCTAGTTTAATTTTCTAAACCGCCAAATGATAGGTTACAAAAGTAATGATTCTGACAATGTTAATGACAAAGGTATCAACATGTTATCGAATTAAGTAATTTTTATCAATAACATTTGTTTTCCGCGAAATGTTGAAAATATTACTAACATTTTTAATTCCAAAATAACAAAATTAAAATATTATTAATTTGTCCAGTAATTTGTTGGAAACAATAGTTTTCAGAGCAATTTAAAATAAGGCAATCTACATTTATCAATAACATGTTAAAAATATACGTTATTAGCAGTGTTACTGCTGGTGTAAATCGGTCTTAACACGCACGGACGCATGACACTTTATTGTTACTATACGAGATGGTCGCGCGGTGGGAGAAGAGATCTGAATTGAAAACAAACGCATCAGAGTCCTTACTAACGATTCAGGTCGGCCACCGCCATACCAACTCCCAAACTTTCCACGAATGTGTATTCTTCTGCGGCTCGGCGTATGTTTACTCTACATTATTAAGAAGTCGTAACGCCGGCAACAGGATCATCTGTGCACGTGTCCGAGTCCGTGCCCGTCCTACGTACAGTCGCACCCTTTAGAATCTATGACACGTTTCTCCTATACGCGCGAACGACACCCTCGACAACAATTTGCCAATACCTTCATCTCGGCATCGGTATGGGGCAGTGCGATATAACAGAGCTTTAGGGTTTAACGGACACGCTAATCCGCTGCATAGACAGTAGCTGCAAATAAACTCGTTCGCTATTCTAATATTATCATAGTTATCTTATCAATTAGTCGGCTGGCCGGACGATCGCTGCAAATGCAATGTACTTTTCGTTTTCGATGATATGTTCGGAGACACATTACTCTCATGAAGAGAATTAATAATTAAAAGAATCATAAAAAATAACTGTTTTGAATATATATTACTTTATACGCGCTAAAAATATTTCAGATTTTTGTTAACGACAGAGAATAAATTTTTTTTTTAATTGAATGCGAAATGTCTACGTTAAAATTTCATTATTAAATCAATTTTACATTGAAGTTAAATTTTGTTAAATAATATAATTTTGTTCAACAATATATTTCAGGATCGAACGTTTCTTCATCGAACTTTGCAATAATCTGAATAAAACAAAAATCGCGAGAGGAATTTGCGCGATAGATATGACAAAATGTAAGGTAGCAAAGTGTCGAACTTACCCATGACTTGAACTTCCAGTGTTCCTCGTGCGCTGTAACCTTGTGCGTTGCGTGCTACACAAGTGTACGTCGCTTGGTCGCTCATTCGTTCAACATTCTCGATGATCAGTGTACCATTAGGGAAGACCTTTTGTTTCCTGTTGATCGGTAAGACCCTGGTGTCTCGTTCCCAGACGATGCTCTCAATCGGATATCCACCAACAGGGCAGGTGACGCGCAAAGTTTCTCCGGCAACAATAGCCTTCTTGTCCATGTGGCGAATGAATGGTAAGCCATAAACGTTGAGACGCGCAGAATGCTCGGCAGATCCAACCTATGACAAAATATCATGCTGAATATTGTACTCAGAACATTTGCAGAACAGATACCGAATCTATAAAAAAAATATAGAAATAATAATAGTAAATTAATTCCATGATAAATTAATTGAATAGTTCAAAGATAAATTTACTACCCAAAATATACAGAAAAAATAATGTAGTAAAAATTGCAATAAAATCTATTGTAATCTTTCAAACTATATAGAATTATGCTCGAAATATATTTATTTAAAAATGTTATACACGTTTGATTATTTACTAATCATTTAACATTCAAGTAATTAGAATAATTACTAGATTAGTGGAAGATTACTGAAATGTTTTATATATATATATATATATATATATATATATATATATATATATATATATATATATTGTATACCAGGTAGATCGTTAAATTTACTCTTTCTATAGTAATTTACACTACAATTTCAGTGTAGTCCAGCTTGACAAAAAGCATTATAGAAAGAAATATAATTATATAGTGTAATTTTTACTGCAACATCTTCCCCGTGTACAAATTTATTTTTTATATTTTAATATGAAATTTCATATTTTATAAAAAATGATTAAAACAAAAGACCAGGGGAGTACGAACTTTTGACGCAGCGATGCATTTGTAGAGTCCACCATCGTTGTTGTGAATGCTCGAAATATTCAGATGCGACACGACATCACCATTGACCGTGACATATTGTCCCACTTGCAATCTGTCGGTGTTTGACAGCCGTTTTCCATCAAGTTCCCAGGTAATTTCAGGGGTAGGATTTCCGCTGGCGACACACTTCAAAAACATGCTTGGTCCAGGCTGAAGGGTCTCCTCGCCAAAGGCTTGACGAATCTGCGGGGGCTCGACTGTCGAGAATCGAAGAGACGGAATTATATAAAATTGAACCTCACGACTGATCGCTTTGAAAAAATCTGAGTAGAATCGACGGCAGCGATCAACTCACATCTTCCACCAAGTTTCAATTCAGCTGTTGCTTGTGCGCTTTCCTGATCATTCCTAACAAAGCATTGATACATTCCCTTGTCCTCCTTCTTCACGCTCTCAATCCTCAGCACACGGTCCTCCAGTCCAAGGGGCTTGCCATCCTTAAGCCAGGAAATGGTCTTGATCGGGTTGCCTTGAACGGTGCAGGTGAAGGTCGCGGGTCTGCCGAAGTCAATGGTCTGGGTGCTTGGCTCGATTTCCGCGGTCAATGGCGCCGTAACAGTCAAAACAGTCTCCACGCTCTCACCGCCGACGGAATTGTTGACGATGCAGAGATATTTACCGGAATCCTCAACTCGCGCCTCGCGGATGATCAGAGTGCCGCTAACCTGACGTACACGGTCGTCGAGCTGAATCGGTTGACGCCTAGTCGTGCCTTCGATATACTTGTACCATCTGAAAAAAGAGGATGAAATCTGTCGATTTTCCCGCCAACGCCGGAACGAGGATCGCTCGTTCCGTGTATCTTCATGTAGTTTCCTTCTTATATATTAGTCAAAATTCATTCGTCGCAAAATGGAACAAGAATCTCGAAGAAAGACGTTGGAAAAGTAATTACACAATAATCTTAATAAACTTAATTTTCATTTTTATATTCAGTTATAGGTATATACGCAAATTGTCATCTATAATAAAATGGAACGTATCCTTTTTTCATAGGAGAACCTTTGTTTCGTGCATGCTTTCATCATAGCATATCGCTTACGCAAGAGCCTGATCGAGTAAAAAAGGCGAATGAAAGAAGTGGCAATGAATTTTTCGCGGTTACGATTACACGCAGTTTGCTCCATTCTACGCTATTACATTATACTCTATGCGGGGCTTTGGGCGTCTCTGGGCACGGCCTTCCGACTCTTCTACTAATCCGTCGGTGTCGCGTCTCTTACGCAAGGCAATTCCATGTAAGAACAAAACCAAAATTCAAGAGAGTAAAACAAGTCGCTTCTACACCATAGCCTTTACAATCGAGAAGCGATGCAGGCGAGGGGTGGATGTGATGGGGCGAGAGGCGAGAGGGAGAAGGTGGAGCCAGGAGGCAATAGAAAAACAAAGATTTATGGTGACGGCGATACACGATCAAAAGCAAAAAATAGACAAATGCGTAAAGTATTCGCATATATCTTGCCGTCAATAAAACTCCCAAGGGAAATAGTGAGGGGCGACTGAAGCGTAAAAGCAAGTACGGACGGCTCTCTCTTTATCGGATTCATCATGGTGATGAGATCTCTAAACGACGATCGTTCGCGCGACTAAACTAAAGCAAAGGGAACGAATAAAAGAAATACTAAGTAATCTAGAAAAGAAATGACGCAACCAAAAGACCGCAATAACGGCTCTTCGACGTTGGAATCAAACGCAGGTGCTAGTGCAGGGTCACTTTTATACCTTGCTAAGCAACAATATCTCATGTGGCGACGTTATAATGTGCAGAATCGTAACGATATTTCTTCTCCAACATTGACTAATCAATTTTAGAATTGCAAACGAATGGCCTACCACGAGAGCTATGAGATATTGTCGGGTATATAATCACAAGTGGTAGATATCGGAAGCAGTCAGGCTGGGAGAGCAATGGTGAAAGAGGTGATGGTGATGGCGGTGGTGGTAGTGGTAGTGATAAAGGTGATTGTGAAGGTGATTGTAAAGATAGTGGTGATGGTGTTGGGGTGGTGGTAGTGAACTGGCGGTACGTTTAATGACGATAGTGCAACTGGACGTGAAAAAACGTTAAGGCTCGATCCTCCGCAGTCACTCACACACGCGCAACGTACATGGATATATATGGACAAACGATCCGCTTTTTACCTTTTGCAACTCTTGTACGAGCGAGAGAGAGAGGGTGGGGAATGAATAAACACGAGCGGATGAACGGAGGCACGAGAAGGTGGCGAGGACTTACCAGCCAGATATTGTGGGACTTATTTGGAGGTGTGCAGGTGTAGGGCAACAGTGACCGCCCTATTGATTGGGTGACACCCTCTCGGACCACCCGGTTCAGCACCGAGGATACCGGGGGAGCAGAGGGCCCACATCCTTTTCGAGGTCGCGCTTCCGTCACCTATCTCGAGGGTTGCGCCGGGGGGAAGGATCCAGTTGGCACTGAAAACCAACACGTCCGATTGGCCCCGGATCAGGGATACACATTTCGGTCGGTCTTACTTCGTCGATTAACGCTATCGCTCGACACTCTCGAGTGTAGTTATGCTCGGAACTGAAAAACCGTCGAGATCGTCGAATTGTCACAGGAAAATCGAGAGCCTCAGCTCTTTCAACAGCGCACCCTTTCCCTACTAGGCTCTGCCCTAACTCTACGCTCTCCTACAGCCGTTCTCTTTTGTTCTCTCCGCTTCTCTTCCTCCTCCTCTTGCGTCTTTCCTTCTCTACACTCTTTCTCTCACGTTTCGCACCGAGTCCTAACGATTGCTCTTTTCTCTTCCTACGTTAACCGAATTCCGTCTTTTACAGCAGTACAACCTTACAACGTGCCTGTTCTTTCTTCTTGCCTCTGTCGAATCATACGGTACCGCCACCCGACACGGGGTAGAGGGTAAGGATGGAAAATATTAAAAGTGAATACAGGAACTGTGCCCCGCGGAGCGTGAGACTACGTCCGAATCAGGGAGAACAGATAGATATCTATACGGAGGTATGTGTACCTAGTTATTGGGGCAGGAAAGCCTTGTGCCGCACACGCCAGCGCCAGAGACTCGCCCTCTACCCCGCGGTACTTAAGACCGTCGCCAGTCCCCTTTGGGGCAGTACGACCGGACGGCTCTGAAATAAATAGTTGCCCAAAGTGAAAGCTTCGTCTCTTCGCGATGTTTCAATTTCGTTATGTTCTTTCTTATTTCCCCGAAACCGGTGCGCGATGCTTGAATCTGAGCGACTAAGAGTATGATAATACGTACCCCATATGTCATTGCGTTTGTCCTGGCTCGACTCTAGAATCGTCTCATGCAATATACTCACCTGACAATAATGCCAATCACGCCAGATGAAGAACGGGTATGATTAGAATGTCGTAATAGATTTAGATTTGACCATCAATCACTGCATGACGTTTATATGTGATTGTAGTATGGAAATGATATCGTACAGTATATATCTCTAACATTTTTATCAAATTTATTTTAGTTTCATACTATATAACTGTCGGATATAAGTATCATACAGTAAGTATCATAGCAAAATTTGGAATACAAAGCTCAAATCGATTCGTTGTAGCAAAATTCTCACGTAAACATTCAATCTTGGCAACTTGCTATGACTTGATTGGACTTGTTGACGACGACAACGACGACGAAGCATGGAAACGAATTCAAAGGAGGGCCTGATCTGGAATCTACCTTGTTACAGGTATAGGATATCCTTGAAGAGAATGACTCAATGTGATGTCTTGATCTTTAGAAGCCAGAATGACTTCCCACCCGAATTTTTTCCCCGATGATCGCGGCGCGATCTTGCTTGTGCCCTCTGAAATGGAGCCGTGAAGAAAAGGAGATTTTTTGACGATTTGTACTGATATACCTTGTGAATGGGACAGGAAAACCCTGAGTCGCGCAGTCCAAGGCCGCCGTACCCGTCATTGGTATATCTACTAGCTTGTGACCCTCGTAACGTTCACCGGCAATGCGTGGCGCAACATTGCCGGTTGGCTCTGTAAGCAGCATCGGTGCAAGAAAACGAACTGGCTAGTAGAAATTATATTTTTGCTCTACTACGTTATGTATGTTGCTGAATTTATATTACGCTTCTCAAAATAATCCTGGACATAAAATAAAAAATTAACCTCTCTTTCCTTTTTCCTCGTATGTAAGTTATCTTGTACTCTGATCAGATTTTGTTATAATTGTTTAATCAATCATAATCACAATCCACGTATCCCCTAACACGTGATTTTAATTCGGATTGCGGTTTGCATATCGGCAGTAAATGCCTGTACCTGAATGTGGGAGCTGGGAAACCTTGAACAGGACACGGTAGGCCAACCATCAGTTCGATTAGAATATCCCTCCTCAATCCGTTCACATCCTTGTCTCGTACGTTCGGACGTACGCTGCCCCGCGGCTCTGCAATAGCGCAAATAGTGGGAAAACGGGGAAACGCGGCTCCGTCTTCGTCATCGTCGTCATTAGCGAACATGTGAGACACGGCACGCGGAACATGTCGCGAAATGTGAAGATAGCGATTGATCACTCTTTTCTAATGAACCACGTTGCAAATAACAAAATACTTCACCGCTTAAAAATTTCTTATGTAATTCTATTCAAATTTTGTACAATTAAAAAATAAGTTTATTGTACAATTATTAAATAAGTTCTAGAAAAATTCTCCAATAATTTTATCATGAATATATTTTATAAGTCATGATAAAACTGGCAGCTATTTTATATTGAATTGCTCGACCTTGCTCACCTGAACAAAGGCAACGGACTAGCCTGAGCCTCGCAAAGCAATGTTACTGCTTGACCCTGGGTTTTCATCATTCCGTCAAATTTGGATCTAGGCGGCAATCGAGGTGGACTACTTCCAACCGGTTCTAAAAACGAAAAGCGCAAGAAGTTCACCAACTACCGAGCTGTCAATCGATATCTTCACGTATTTACTTTAATCCAGAGTACATGATCGGCAAGATGCACTTTCCGTGTTTTAAGCGAATCTTAGTGCTCTCCCTGATTTTTTAAAACAATTGACTAATTATTATGCAAGGATTTTTCTAATAGTTACTTCTTAAATGTGTGGGATTATCCTGAATAAAAAATTCCTTTTGTACGTACATATTACATGTACACGAATATAGCGAAGATAAACTTCACTCAGAGCCACCTCTCCTTCGTACAATCTTGATTCCAAAAAAAATTCCTATCAACGAGCAACATTTGCATCGAGCCTACGTCGGCATACCTGAAGAGAGGAAGTGGATTCGCTTGAGCCTGACACAGCATCGCCATGGCGGTTCGCGACGCAATCGAGAGCACAGTTATTTTAGCTGTCGGTGGCACTTTTGGTGCTGCGCCATTTACTGGCTCTAGATACACAAACAGTAATGCGATGAGACCAATCAAGATGTTCTCCACCGATTGGCACACTTTATCTGAGCAAATGTAATATTTTCCTTTCCCGAGGAAGATGATATATAGTATCAAGGAGATCTCTTTACACGATAATAATAAAATTGACGAAATGGCGTAAAAGCTTCGCTACAAGTGTCGATATTAATAATCGTGAGTACCTATAAGCTGGAAGAGGGTGTCCCTGCGCAGGGCACAGCATCGTTACAGCTGCTCCAACGACATTCGCGAGAACGTCATATTTAGAAGTGGAAGCGACTCTAGGCTTGGCACCATTTACCGGTTCTACAGAACGATAATGTTCCGGAAGCTATATTACATCGA